TAGAAGTTTCAGAATAATTGCATCAGCCTCACTCGTTAGAGCGTCCCGACCTGGCTCTTTTTCTAGGTAGTGAGAAAGAGCCACAAGCGGGAGAGAGTGCAAGGCGCAAACTGGACAGCCATAATCTTCGGGCCACGCCCGAAAATAGTCATCGCACTCGCCGACGGTAGTCGCTTGAAGCAGCAATACGCCAGGCCCTTCGTCCCCAGTAGGTCCCTACTCCAGAGAAAAAGCTTGCCACCTGTCCAGTTGCCCAGCAATTTAATACACGCCGCCAAAAATCGCTCGTAAGACGTTTGCGACGTGATAAGACCAAGGAGAAACTGCGGCCAAGACGTGTCCACGTTTGCCGTGAATCTGTTGAAGGCTTCTTCCGAGGTCTTTCGCTGCTCACCAGAAAGATACCTCCGCCAAGCTTTGCTATCGTTTTCATCGTAGAGCAATGCCCTCGCTGCTTTGAATACCTATGGGAAAGATGACGAATGAAGGTGGAGACTATCGACCCAAGGACCTAGAGTTGAGATTTCAAAACGCATAAAAACAAAAGGCGACGCAATGTGCACAACGTTGGAGAGACCAAGAAAGCCACAACAAATGCACACAGCGCAGCATCTTCAGGCAACTCGGGAGCCCCCGCGGCCGCGCGCCAGCGGCCGCGCGCGCTGTTGTGTTTGCGCGGTCATGTGAGTCAACTGACTCAAGGCCAAGACTGGCCTTGATGAGTCAGCTGCTTCAGCCAGAGGCCTAGCAGATTGCCTCAAAGCGAACCAGGTGAGCCACTGCCTCGCCGGTGCCTGAAGCAGCTGATCAGTGGCCCAGGCGCTGGCCTTGCGGCAAGGGCTGCCTACGCCTGCGACTGGGTCACCTGATTCAAAGCGCCCGAAAGCTGTCCGAGTGATCCGCTGACTCAGTAGCACCCCAGTCGGCCAGCTCGGCCAGCTGCGCGGCCCTTTCCTCCTCCGCTTGCCGCTTCATTGAGCCTGTGCGCGATCCCCTTGGTCTGAATTTCCCACAATCCGCGGGCTGCAGCAAGACAACCAGGAGCAGGAAGCGTCGGAGCGAGTGAGCAGACTCTCACCTTGGCTCAAATCCAAGATTTGAGCCAAGATTAGATCCAAGTGGAGCCACCTCAAAAAGTGCTTTGTCTGAGGTGAATTCTCTCCCAGAAAAAACCGCAGAAGTAAACTCGAAGCCTGCTCCGATGATATTTGCTGCCCCCACTAGATTTTTGAAATTGCTGCCCAAGATTTCAAAAGATGAAAGCCCAAGACTTATTAGATCCAAGTGGAAAGCCTAAAAAAGCGAACCTTTTCCGAGAAAAAAATAGCCAGCGACATGCTGGATCCTCGTCGGCTTTGGAGCGACCAAAACCAGCAGAGTGGTGGCGGACGCTCCAAATCTTGGATCCTGCCCAAGCAGACTCGAAGTCTGCTTTTTGGCTTGCAGAATATATTTTGGCGCCGTTGGTCGTCGCTCGATCACCCGTCTGTCTCCCGAGTCTGTAGCGGACACGCACGCCCACCAGACTCCGCGCCAGAGGATGACGTAGGCAGCGAGAGCGACCAGCAGCAGCACGCCAACCCCGCTCCGGTTCGTTTTGGCTTGGCCAAGGTTCACGGAGATGGACTTTGCAAGTGTGTGGCGGGGTCGGGTCTTCCTGCATACTAGCGCGCCAGCCCAGTCGCACGGCCCTGCAGCCCACTGCGGTGGAATGGCCTTCACGCGTGGCTTTGCGTGCAAGGGTGACAACCACACGGAGCCAAGGCAGCCCTTAGCACTCAAGCCCACAGCCAACGGAGATGCCCGCGCACCTTCTCCGACATTGGGCCGCCCCCGCCCGGAGAGTGCTGCCATATCACTGCCGAGCCATCAGACGCGGAGGCTTTTGGTAGTTACCAGGGGCCACCCACTAGTTTCCGACTCGGGAGTGTACGAAAAAGGAAGCAGAAAGAGGCGTAGCCCAGCGGGTGTACCTACAAAACA